TAGTATGAGCTGAGCAGCTACGTGCTGTGGGACTTCCACCAGCACACAGCAGCAGTGCTGCAGAGTACATGGCACATAGTAGCTGACGTGTCCGAGTCCTCTAAATCTCAGCCAGCTGAGAGCAGTCACATGTGATCAGTGACCGAATTTATCACTCCAAGCCAAGAGCTGTCATCCACTCTAGGGTGTGTGTGTGTGTGTGTGTACATGTGTGTTTATAGGCTCGACCCCTGCTACCTCTCGAGACACGACTGACGTTGTCTTTAGCAAGTGATTATAGCCAGAGTGACTGTGAAAAAGGTCACAGCCACACAGCTATCAACACTCCACTCCAAATGCCAACTGTGTACAATGTGCATCAGTGTGTGTGCGCATGTGTGTTCTACCCAGAATGCCACACTATTAGACTTGACTCCCCCCCCGGCGCTTGTGGGCAATCTGCATGATTGATGACAGAATCTGTGTTGCCAATCAAAGCAAAGCATTATGGTAACTAGGAAGTTGTATTAAATAGGGAGCATGACATTAAAGGTTACAGTGGAGACAGTTAGGTGTGATTATGTGTTTGTGTATGTGTGTAAAAGTGTGCGCTTGGTCAAACAAAATGATCTGAAGGGCAGTTATTGATGGATGAGGTGCCATAGAGCCATTTTTCCCTGTTATTATGGTCAGCAAGGTCACAAGTACAATAAACTCATTAAATTTTGAGCTAATTAATGCTTGAATCCCATGTGGATAAAAACCTTTTCAGTTACTTGACAGTCACTGGTGGGGTCCAGATAAATGTTAAATCACTCCACTATGAAAATACTGTTCTGAATGTATTTAGTTTTTCTTAAAAATTTCACTTTACAACCTTAAAACTATAAATAAAAAATCCAGCACACCATCTGGATTACTGAACATCTTATTGTGAACAGAAAAAAATGCTTGTGTATCATTGCCCCAAGGAAGGGTGAATGTGTCAAAAGTAAGTCAGACAGTTACTGTAGCTCAATGAGTGGTGAACAGAACAAAGGCCTTTTTTTCTGCAGTGAGGATCCTTTTGATGTACAAGTGTACCCCCTGGACAGGATGCCTTACCTTAGAGTTTCAAGCTTTCACTTTTCATGATGATGAAATTAGAATATTTTACCAGAAAGTATGTGGAGACATTCACCCTTTCTCCTTGTTCTAGGCATGTTTTCCTGGTGAATCTCCATCATTAAGATTTCTTCATGACTGTGTCTTTTAAAGATGTTGGATTAAAAGCAATTACTCCTTTAGAAGCCTCCGTGATATAGATCTGTATTATGTGGTAGTCTGTTTTGTACTCTTTCAGGCTATTGTATTAGTGTTTCCCCTTAATGGGAAACAATACATATCCTTCATACAGTATATCCTTTAATTGCCTGCCTGATTAATACATCTCAATTAAATTCAATGTTCTTAATAAATGAGTGAATTAGATAATTAGCTTTAATCTTTGTACACTGTTTCTGGTGTCTTTTTTTTCACATATTGGATTTCTCACTTGGAAAAAATCTCGGTTTCTTGCCAATGGCCTTCAGAATAAGAATTAAAGTGTCCATTGTTAGTTTCTCCTGGTCATTTGATAGCTGTAGTTGTGGTTTCTGAGGACTATAAAGTCAAACGCTGCTGTAAATCAGAGAGCTCATTTCTTGCCTAGAAGAGCTTTTCTGAAAGGGAATTTTACCATTTTGTTTTCGAAGGAAAAGGACAGAGATAAATTAAAATTGTATGTGTTTATAGTTCGTTGTTTGTGGAATGAGGATTACAATTAATAAGCAAGATGAGACCACTGAACTTACTCAACATAGAACTATTAATGAAGCCAGAGTTATTTGAAAAATGATTACATGATGTTCTGTTGTGCCATTTGTCCAACCAGTGTACCTGTGTCATTTTGGACATTTTACACTGAGAGAAAAAAGACCAAAGAAAGACTGAAGAAAGAGTATATGCATTTCTTTAAGAGAAGGATGCCTTCTATCTTCACACACACACGCATACACACACAAGCCCTGGCCCTCCTAGTGCATTTCCCTCCTGGTTTTCCAATTTAAATGCAAATGTTCCCAAATCGGACTCCACAAAGACGCAGAGGCAAAATCATTTGACACAGCGATGAATTATATATTTTAATTAAGCAGCCAAAAGAATCACGCCTATTCAGCCTTTTCCCCTCAGTAAGAAATGAATAAATAAATATGGAAGAACGAAAGAAGAAGGGAGTAAATGGGAGAGTCAGTGGTGGGACGGATGGGTGGATAAAGAGAGGAGGGTTTATACTGAGTTTGTGTGATTGCAGCGCTAACCGCCTGTGGCCTGTCATTATGTGAGTGATCTGAAGCTGTCAGCTTTCAAAACTGTATTGTTTGCTGATAGACGGGCTAAATACCCCCACAGTTTCAAGCATACACACACATAACATACTCAAGCATTTGCATCCAGCGAACTCTCCCATGCATGCACACACACATCATTTGGATTTTGATGGGCAAACCGGCACTCAGAGAACGAAGAGCAGAGATGAGGATTGTGATGCTCTGACAAGGGATGCAATTTTAATTTCACCCCCTGTCACTCTTCTCAATATCTGCTCAGATGAAATACATATGAGCTGCCAATCACTCATACATACAAATAAATACACAAGTGTGCACAAACACACACAAACCCACAATCTCTCAATCACAAGCATACTTGAAAACTTTCACTTACTATTTCTATTTTCTGACGTCACAGATGCAAATACACAAAGACTCATCATTTAATATATTGGGAAAAAAACTCTTTTCTTAAGAAAGACAGAGTTGAGTACTGGCAATCGAGATCCTGGTACTTCACAGGAATTCTCACATAAATCTTCTGTGAAATCTTCCGTGAAAAATACCAGTGGGAACTTCGGATTTGTAGCATTTAATGTATGTTCTTTTGTGTCTGTGTGCACCTGTATGTCTGCATAAAACAAGCCTCAGTAGCATAAGGAACTTTTTCAGCCAAGAACCAAAGTCCAAAAGTTTATTCTTGAAATGATTTTATATCATATATCAGACCCCCTTGGATCTTAAGCTACTCTTCTAAACTCATTTTCTTACTGTCTGGTCAGAAATCTTGCATGGAGCTCCTGTGCCTGGCCTGTTGTGGATAAAGGCCCCATTAGTGCTCATGGGAACATTTAGGAGATTCACATGGTGACCTGTTGTTGCAGAATCTCTTTGCCTCTACCCTTCATAGGAAATGGCTGGTCAAGGAATGCACTACTCCTGACTCCTAATGCACTAATTTTCATGAGGAGAAAATTGTGTCATTACCTTAATAACTTTTATAGAGATCGCCCTTCTCCTCATTACTGTGTTGCTTTCTTTGACATAAAAAAAGATATCACACAATTTACAAGATACTATTTTAATCCCAAATAATAATTTGGTTATATTTAATTTTAGACACAATTAGTTTAGCAGTTTTTGGAAACCTTTCTTTGTTCTTCAACGTAACAAGCTGTTTGAGTGTAAAAGGTTTTTGTTTCAAACACTATTGGATAGGTTGTTCATGAAAACATTTCCTAGCCTGTTTAATGTCTTTGACTGTTTTATTGCTTTTGACATTTTAGTTCAGCTGTAAAAGCTTTTTCATGTTCTTGAACATCACTCAGCAATACTTGCAGATATGTGTCTTTCTGAAATGTTTAAACATGGCGTGGTGTTCATGCAAAGGATATTATATGAGAGAGGAAAGCAGAGAAATAATGTGTGTAGTGAAGAAAATGAGAAAGACTGAGAAGGTAAAAGATGAGTGAAAAAAGTGAATCAGGAGGAAGATGAGTAAAATAAAAAAATGTCAGAAGATAAACAAAGAGCAAGAGATAATGGAGGATGGCAGATGTTAGTAACAGCTGGATTCTTGAAGCAGAAGAACAGGGAACTTCACTTTCCTTTTCTTTGCCTCTGTTTAAAGTGCTCACTCTGTTCCCCGCATGCAGACACACACACCTTACTTACTTCAAGTCTCAGCAGCAAGCAGGCCCTTAGACAACCTTTATCTGTAGGAGACCCAGACATCTACATTCTGAACAGATGAGAGGGGATGGAAAACAGAGATGAGGGAGGCCACATTTTAATGAGAGGATCTGGGTTAAGGTCCCTCTTTGGCAGGCAGCTGCCCTGTTCAAGCCTCCTTGAACAAGATGGTAAATTCCTACAAACTCTAGTGGTGTAGTTCAGTTGCAGCTGACCATGACCTCTCACCTCTCTTGTCCTAGTGAAAGTAAGAAAGTCAAAAAAAGAGCAGTTTGTCAATAGGGATCATTTCAAAAGGTGACTACTAATTAACCCTACTCTATCTTGTGTACTGAAGGTGTATAAAAGTAGAAATGTAATAGTCTTCCACCCCCTACTTTACTGATCTTTATCTGATTAGTTAGAATCCTCCTCCATCTTACCTCAAATTTTAATACAAGAAATATCAAAATTGAGGTTATAAATGTTTTATGTCAGGCAAGAATGAGGTGACAGAATGCCCGTGATGTATTACCGTTGTACTTGACAGCTGTGTGTTTGTTTATGCTGTGCTATACCTTTAAGAGCTGCTGGCCATTGCCCATCCCAGAGAGGGTGGACCCATTAGGCTGGTGAACAGAGGGAA